AGAATCCATCACAATGGCGTAAGTGTATACCCATTCATACTAAGTAGGTTCCGAATATTATTCAATTCTTCTTCGATGGTGAAATTCATCGACAAACATATGATGGAGAAGAAAACAAGGACAAAGATACCCACCGTCCATAAGAAGGTACTATTCATAAAACTACAATTCATAAATGACACCATTGAAGAAACCTTAACTCAGAAACTAAGAAGAGCCGTACAAAAAACATTTAATGCTGCCAGATTAAATGCAATCTTCTACAACTATCCTAAGATAAGAACAGCCAACAAAGACAGACTGCCTGAATTCGCCAAATCTATGTGTATCTATCGTTTCAACTGCTCCTGTGGAGCCAGTTATATTGGGCGTACAATGCGGCAAGTCCGTCATCGCATTACTGAACATCATCCGTCGTGGTTAAACAAAGGACAGGTAAAAGTGATTAAAAGTTCTATTCTCTCTCACTTGGTTGACACAGGTCATCAAGTCGAATTGAATAAAGCTTTTAAGGTTATCTACAATATCCCATCTAATTTGTCACATGGTTTACGAGTGCGCCTCTTGCACATTGCGGAAGCCATCGCAATCCATGTTCACAAACCTGACCTTTGCATACAAAAGAGATTCGTACAACCACTTTCCCTGCCCTGGCCATCAGTTTAAGATTTCCTTCAAAAGAACTATTTTTCATACTTCTTCCATTTTTTTTTAATTTTTTAAAACTTTTGTAACTTTTTGTAATTTTTTAAACTTTTGTAATTTTATTTCTGTTGCTTTTGAACTTAATAACTTCTCAACATTCATCTCTTGATTCTTACGTAACTACCATCCTATTGACCATCCGTTAAAATTCTGTTCCTTCTTTGTTTGTTACATTACGCAACTTAGCAACTTCTTGATCACTTTGAATATTAATAATCCTCTTTCTTCCAATTAATTAATGTTAATTTAAATGTCATTATGTAATTATTACGTAACGTATCCACTCGATGAGTATTATATTATTATTGTAAAACCTTTGAATTAACTACTTTTATGAATCCGGTGTCCATCTTGTTGTGTTAATGAGGTATGGCAACTTGGACCGATGCATATATGTGCCTGGTCCTATGTTGTCGCTGACTAACTGACTGACTCCTCGTGAACAAGCATAAGTCAGTCACCAGCATTCGCCATCTAACCCTATCCTGGGCAATCCATTTCAGCTCATTCCAGTCATTATTCATCCTTTCCATATCTACTTCTATTTCCCGACGTAATGTGTTCTTTGGCCTTCCACTTTTATGCTTCCCTTCAGGATTCGAAGCTAGGGCTTGCCTCGTGATGCAGATTGATGATTTGCGTAATGTGTGTCCTATCCATTTCCATCGTCTTTTCCTGACTTCTTCTTCAGCTGGAAGCTGGTTTGTTCTCTCCCAGAGAAGGCTGTTGTTGATAGTATCCGGCCAATGAATGTTGAGTATCTTGCGTAGACAGCTATTTATAAATACTTGTACCTTCTTGATAGTGATTGTTGTAGTTCTCCAAGTCTCACCTCCGTACAGTAGAACTAACTTTGATAATGGTTGAAAGTTGTTTTGAGTTCCATATGTTGTTCAGTTGTAGGAATGCTGTCCTTGCTTTGCCAATCCTCGCCTTTACGTCTGCATCTGATCCTCCTAGTTCATCGGCGATGCTTCCCAGTTACGTGAAGGATCCTACATCTTCCAGAGTTTCGCCATCAAGTGTGATTGGGTTGGTGTTCTCCATGTTGTATTTGAGGACCTTTGTTTTCCCCTTGTGTATGTTGAAGCCTACTGATGCAGAGACTGCTGCTACACCGACTGTCTTTGTCTGCATCTGTTCGTGTTATGCGATAGGAGGGCTAAAGAGTTATAGCTACAAACGTTTATTTTGTGTATATAATCTAAATGAACTATGATCTCTATGATACTTTAGGTTTTTGAGGTTCTTCGTAATTATGTTTTTAAATGTGCACTAGCGAAAACATAAGTACGTATTAAATGTTCTATGTAACTTAATGGGTTTTCACCTGACGTTCATTCGTCGAGGAAATTATTCAGAAAATGTATATTACGATTTTATGTTAATCATTTACAGGTTTTGGATAAAGTCATAAGAAAATGGAATGATTGTCAACGTCAGTTAATTCACTGACTAAGATATTAAGCCAATTGAAAACTACAATTTGAAATATATCAGAAATGAACAGTTACGATATCGTAAGGAATCTAGTTCTTAAATTTATAATCTTGATATGATTTAAGTACTTTTAAAATAATAAATAGGAAACTGATAGTTTTAACATTGTCTGTTGTTGATACAGGTCAAACCTCAACGGAAATCTTCACATGATCTTTATTTATGTGGGGAGTGTTTTATGACTATTCTAAAAAACAATATATCATTTTAGAAAGTTTAACATAATATTGTTAAACAAATTGTTTATATCTCGCTAGCGGGATCGTGGATGTGTACTGCTGAAGAGGCCCACAATAGGACGAAACAACCGTCCGTTGCTTCCAGGTTTTCAATGCTAGTCTAACACCAATCAATTTATGATCTTAATCAAAAACATTTGATAGCGTTTTATCATGGTTTATAGTTGGGGAGTTTCTTTTATACTACAGGAATAGTTAGTTGTTATTATTTAATTGAAATGATAATTCTTGTGTGTGACCACTCTGGATAGCCTTTTCAAATATTTTTAACCCAATGAAATCATTCATAAATGTCGTAAATATATTTATCTTCAAAATGTTTGAAACTTCACAAAATATTCTACAAAAAGAAGGTTTTGAAATGAGTAAAGCATGTTATTATATAAGAAAAGCTTTATGTAAAATTGGCTAACTAGATCATGATATACCATTTTCAAAGTGATAAAGATTTAAGATGAACAATTGAAAACCAGGAACAGTAGATAGAGACTCGGTACTAATTCCATAATGTTTATTATTATATTCACATAATATCATAAGTAACAGAACTATTGGATCATTGAAGTGTCACTCATCGGTTTATATATTTAACGCTAATTAATTTGTTACAGGTTGTACTGTCAATTTTAAAATAAATTCCTATAGCACCTTAAATCAGACTGTAATTTCAACCTGATATGACAGAAAGAAATGTCAAAATTAGATTGATTTATTCATTATAATTTTTGTTCAACATTATTTCTGTTTTAATTCAATGCAGTGATTACTCAGTGTAGTACTTGTTTCTGTTACCCTGTATGACATTTTATTCTGTATAACGTACGATATACTATGCTCAACATGACATGTAGCATATGATTTGTTATAACTGTAAGTATTTTTCATATATGTGATTTTATCCTAAATACTAATCAGTATATAAATGAGTGTATTTTAGACTAGGGTCGTCGTCGTGTTTTGGGGTTAACAAAATTTCGCTTGTATCAGCCTTTGTATTCTTATTTTCGCACCGTAGGAATCGCAATGGTTCCTCGCTTTATAAGTATAAGTGATAAGCTATTCTGACACCATAATCAGTGACGAGATATAACAATTGATGACACAGTCATAACAGTCGATCACCAGTCATAACACAATTGATTCATATTTGTTTACATGTTACTGCTTTATTCTTATAGTCTCTAGATAAAAAGTCTTGGCATATAAGTGAGGAAGAGTGGAAATTGAAAAATATATTCATCAAATTAGATCTATTCAGCTACAAATAATTTCTGAAAGACTTTGGAATTAGTCAACTTTTAAGACATAAATTAAAAAACAAGATATGTAGTTAAAACAGCAAAATGGATATAATTTACCCATCAAATCTCATTAACAAAGTCTATGATAGAAGTCGAAATCATGTTTTCAAATATTCATTTCAGAATTTATAACAACAAGGAAAAATACGATCTACCTGTAAAAATTCAATGCTATTTTAAGATATATTTTGACTTATTACTTGCATTACTAAGTTTATATGGACTGAATATCCAATTTGGGGTTTACCTAAAACGATATATATTGAGTAGTTTGAGTAATAATATGTATTTTGGATATATGCCAAATAAAACTAAACTACATATTTAAAGAAGTTTATAATAATAAACTCAAGTATTTATTAAAATCAGTTGATGTTTAAATTTAAATGTTTTGGATCTGTTAAGAGAGCACTGAATTCACATATTCAAACTTGTAAGTAAAATCGTCAATTCATTTAATGACTGTTTTTACAATTATTATTTTTTTTCTAGTTAGCGTCTTTTTTGGGCGAGTAGCCTAGTGGGACTAGAATAATAATACTAACGCAACGTTATAATGAAAACTTGTGGAGTTAATAATTACAACTTACTTATGCTCCATTGGGGGGTTGTAATTATTAACTCCACAAGTTTTTATTATAAGGTTGCATTGGGATTATCATTCTAGTCTCACCAGGCTACTTATCAGTTAAAATGGATAGTGTAATATGATATCTGTTATATCTAGAGCTTAGATTCTTAATATATTGCGTAAAACTTGAGCACTTGAACTCTAGAACCTTTGCAATTCGCAAATCAGAAGATAAAAGACAAGTGAAAGGACTTCTATTTAAAACAGTGTAAATTATGGTACAAAACTGTCGGGTATTTATAGTTTTTAGTAAAAACGAAATCATCATTATAGTCTTCCGATCCGCACACAGAGGGTTATTAGCATTTGTCTAATAGGGAAGCTACACGTATGGATTCTGCAATATTCTTCTAAAAGATGATTGGATGGAATATCTTCGGTTCTTTCTGAGCTTCTTAGAGCTTCCTCGGGTTTAAATGTGGGCCGTCCTCACAATATCATTAATTGAACATTATTAACTTGTAATGAGGTAGTCATGAAGATCTGTTATGAATATATTTGTCCAGTTTAACAATTATACGTTTGACTGCTAGAAGATAATTGAGGTTACGTCATACTGAATAATGAATGAATATTTTGATGAAACAAAATAAACGTCTTACACAATTTCCTTTTTCATAACAGGAAATGTATCTGTAAAACAGGTGATTGGTTTAATCATTATACTGAAACAAAAGAAACCAGTCCGTTAAAAATTGATTTAAGATTTGAACCACTTCAAAATAATCTACGTAAGACAAGTAAGTTTATGCAATGATTTGCCAGTGACAGCTTTTATTTTTATAGAAGAATCAGGGGAGAGTATAAAGAAAAAGAGTAAAGTATTTTACAAATAAATTATTAGTTCATCGCAATTGAGTAAATAACTCGCATTGTATGCATTTGGTTAAAAGACAAAGTAATAAGAATAGAATAAAGCTATTATTTTGAGATTACGATTTGTTGATGAAGACGTTTCGTGAATTACAGTTCATGAAAAGAATGCTTTTTGTAGAGTTTTGTCAACTACTTAGTTGAATATACGTTAGATAATATTTGAAGACGAATTTAAAGTGATAGGTTTAGGAGCTATGAAGATGAAAGAATACTTGTTTTATGTTGTTGAATATATACCTTGTGCTTTGTCAATGTATAACGTAATGATAACGCCAACTAGAGAACAGTGAATTATCGATCGGACCAATGCCGCATAAAACCCGTACGAGCAGTCTAGATTACTTATCGGTCCTGCTTCCTGTCTAGCCCTGACTGTTATGTCCAGAACATCAATCTCAGCCTCTGCGATATGAATCATTTATTTCAAACACACTGAGTTTATATATAATCCAAACAGACCACATCGTACCATAAAATAGGAGACAATATTTGTACAAGATTTAGCCAAATATGGCTGTGAATGTGGGAGATAGTAATTGATAGACAAGGCATAACTGAAGAATGGTAAATCGTATAATAACAGTTCATAGGTCAAAATAAAGCTTATGGTAAGAGGAACGGGAATATGAATAGTTTAGCTACCTAATAATTATACAATAAAAATACATGTATCGTATAATTCATGAATAGTTCTCAAAAGTTACCATTCATAATATATAACAAGGTTCATGCTTACTTTATTCGATGCTCAGCAATCGCCAAATTAAGTTATTGAAAATGAATTATTAAACGTTATAAGTGGATTCATTATAGGTAGTAGTTGTTACGATCAGATGTTCAAGAATCTATAAATATGTTGACTTTAAATGATGTCTATTAAATCATTGGAATAATAAAAGAAATTGATCATAATTATTTCATTTTTGTACGCTTTTAATTTTTCACGTTGCTAATGTTAAGATTTGCAATTGATCAATCTATTTTAGCATATATGCATCCTGAGTAGATTGGATTAATATTGCTAGTAAATATCCAACTTTGCATATAAGTGCTTGTAACTTAGTGGAAATACCGAAGTGATGTTCTCAGTAAGCATTTATAAGTACATAAATAAGAGTGATCAATTTCAGTCCTCAACATTAACAATTGGAAGATTTAAATACTTAAAAGTGGAATAATACTTTTCCCTGTCAGACAAGCTGATGTTTGCCTGAACTCAATAGTTAAATGGATAGCTGAAGTTTGAAGCAAAATTTATTGGGTTCGATTAGTATAGTGAACATCACTACTGAGAATCATGTACATCCAACAGATTAGTTCAAAATGGGACAAAATATGTATCCTGGATCCCACTGTTAACTATGATTCAACTTTGTACCAAAATTAACTATAATAATTTCTTAAAAAGAAATGAAATAAAATTTCTTTCATGAATGTAAACTACAGTGTGATTCATTCCTGAAAAAGAAATATAAATCAATAAATTATTCTCGGAGTTCTGGTGAGAAGCCGTGACCAGTGGAGCTAATCCGTGTCGGGAAGAAACAGGTGTCTGCCTCAGTACAATGGAAGATGGTGGCGCGATTTCGTGGATTGGTTGAGGTCGGACATTAAAACCATCGGATGCCGGCTCAGTGATCTAGTTGGTTAAGCGCCTGGCGCCAGGATGATAGGTCCTGGGTTCGAATCTCGCGGGGTGTGGGATCGTGGATGCGCACTGCTGAGGAGTCTCATACTGAGACGAAACGGCCGTCCAGTGCTTCGAAGTTCTCCATGGTGTTCTAGCTTCAGTTGTCTCATGATTTCAACCAAAAAACTTAACAATCTCCACAACAGTGAAACTGAAAATTTTTGTAATAGAAATAATTTTTTGATTAGGTTACTAACCATAATTATCTGTGTAAATGTATATTTTAGAAAGTGAAATGATTTCAAAACTGAATAATTCATCAAAAAATATTGCTGTGAGTTCTATACATAAACTAATTATTTTATTTATGTAAATACAGCGAGACTATAATTTATGAATGACCTTTGAACGCGTCCCAAGTGACCTTGAGAAGTATTAGTCAATCAGAAAAGAGTTAGTACAGAGTAAAAATATTTTATACAAAATCATAGAATTAAAGTGGATACACTTCTTTTACATGGTTTGAAAACTTGTCAAGGGTAAAAAGAGGTTCAGATGTTCTAAAATCATAATGTATACGGTGGAGGAAATCATCTGTATGGCTCCATAATAGTCGGCCTCTGGAGCCATGATAAGGTTGCAAAATCTCTTTCAGCCTCTACCACATAGCTTCAACATTGTTTGTGTTCACTCCGGTTGTTGGGTTCACAAAATGCCGCTTATGGATAATGACACGATGCACATAACCAAGTCTATGTAGTCATCTGTACGCTCTTTAATCATCCGCATATATTGAAGTACCCATCACCACCCAATGTTACTGTTGCTTATTCAATTCGCAACAATTATCATGATTTAGCTTAGTCTCAATCTGTAGTCTGCACAAGGTTCACAAGTCATTTGATTACCACAATCACAAATAAAGATACTTCTTAAAAGTCCCATTCGTTTTAGCCGCTCAATTATCACGTTTTCTCCAAACTCCTCTGTGAACCGATCGTACGTGAGCATCACATACTGAAATTGGCACCGTGACCTAGAAATCTCTTGGACGCTTCTGATTGGCTCCTTAATAACTAATAGTCTCACCTCTACACATTCTTGAAATAGTTATCAGTAACTATCGCTAAAGATATTTTATAATCTAAATATAACTGAATTAAAAATAGACTTAGTCTCTAATCAGCACAAAATCTGTATGAATAAAAGTCTGACGGAAAAAATTGTAAAAAAAATAGATTATAACATTTTAAAATGTATTCACAGTGATGTTATAGTTAATTATTAGGATAGACAAAGACATTTCTGACAGTAAGATGTTAGTTATAGTTCCATATGCATTTAACTGGATGTAGATAAATTTTAACTATGATAGCTAATGCCATCCTATACGTGTACGTTAAACGAATGGAACTCAATGAATATCCTTAGTTCTACTTTCGGCAAAAGTTAAAAACAGCTTATGAAAGCAGGTATGAATCATAGGTTGTAAGCTTTTAATGAGTGGTCTGAAATATTCCATATGATGTTAGATTTTCAAAAGATTCCTAATGGTGTCAGAGCAATATAACTTTAGGCTTTTTTTCAACGTCTGAACGTTTAGTGCGGTACAGGTATGAACATTCAAAACATTGTGAAAAAGCTAATTGGATCTACGTATTTATACTATATGTGTATATAAATACGAACGTGTAGTAAGCATTTTAATCATAAGATGATGTCAATGAATAGAACTGTACTAGTTGCTTCGTAATTACATATTCGATATTCGTGGTTAAAGGTTTAGTCATATGAAAACAATATATAAATTTTCACCTAGCACTTTGAATATACTTTTTCTAAAAATCCAACGTCGCCACAAAAATCTTTTCAATTTTTATAATTAATAACATTAATCAACATGTAGTTGACTCTAAACTGTAGACAATGTATACTGAATTTCAAGTGTATCGAGTTAAATTAATCAGTAATATGATTCCAATAGTAGTTTCGAAGTTAATGAAGAATATAACTTCCATTTTCACTATCTTAGACATTAAGTGCATTATTATTTTTTTGTAGAACTCACCTTCTAAACCAAGTAAGTTACCTTCTTTAATAGAATTTCCATTTATAAACATTTTTGAATAGTTCAATGTCTTACTAACCAATATTTAATCTCATATAAAAATTAGGATGTTATTAAATTTACCCGGTATTGTTTACTTGAATCTTCTTATTAATGTTCAGGACTGCAGTTGACCAGTCACTTATTGACATATGTGCATACTGTGCGTATTGTCACGATGTTGCCTTAATTCACAGGCATTATAAGCAAAGATGGATAGTGGCTAGCAGTGGAATCCAGAACTCGCGTTTCGTCGTATTTAGGACTCTCCAGCTGGGTGCTAAGTTGATAACCCGATGATGTTTGAAGCAAACGGTACTGGGTTCGAGTCACAGAGTGAACATCAACTCTGAGATGCAGGTACATCCAGCTGGCTAGTCCCGAATAGGACGAAACGCGCGTTCTGGATTCCAATGCTAGCCACTATCCATCTTAGGATGTTGTTAGTCCTAAAAATATATAGTTTATCCAAATATATATGCATGTTAAAATCCGTAGAACAAATGAAATTGTTAATATCACCTCTCTATATTATGTGGATTGATTTTAGAATATATAAGAACGTATTGCTCACTATAGATAAAATAAGCTATTGAATAACCAGTCTATCCAATGTATCCTCTAAACAATAAATTTAGTTAGCACTGGAATAATTATCCATAGAACTACTTAGAATATAAGTGTACAAAATTTAGAAAAAGAATGTATTATTGTGAATAGGTATTAGAAAATAGTTGAATAAGACAGTCAAATCATTTGTGCTATTTTTAACTCTCCCATGATTGAGTGTCATTCAGCTAATTGACTTATAAATCTCGGTTGAAATTTCAATTAATGTTGCTAATAGAAAAAATGTAAATAACGGTTTAATGTTGTTAGGTTCAGGGTATCCTGTTGACTACCTCTAAACACCATCTTATCTTAACATAGTGCACTCAATGTCGAGTCACCTAGACTGGTGGCCACATTGAAACTTAGTCGATAGGATGCAATGTACATTGAGAAAGACCTGATATACATGACAATGATCACCACCCAGGGATCAATCAATTGTAAATCATTATCGTAGACATAATTTCAGTTGACATAGAACTATCAACTGCTAAAAACATTAATATAAATTTGTATTGACCTAACCAGTTTCAAAATATAAAAGCGATATAAGCTTTGTATTGTGTAGTGACTTACATTCAAAGTCTTATAACATAGATGGAGGTAATAATGAAATGTCTAATTTAGATGATGACACTTCAATTGAAACTGAACAATTCAGTGGTGAAAATTGAAAATAGAGATTACGTAAACTTTTGTCGACATATTTATGACTGTTAATTATTATTATTATGTCAATTGAATTGCTCTCAGAAAGTTAATATCTTCATTATGTACTCTACATATTATGATAAGAAAAAAGTAAATGATGTAGACATAGTTAAAAATAAAATAGATTTACTTTTTATTCATTTCCAGTTCTTATTCGAATTTTCGTTCATGTATATTCACATTAATAAGAAGAATAATAGCTTTATAATAGACAATGATCTCTGTTTAGTTGGCTCTGTTTTCATGTGTAATGAATATAATAGGTTTATTATTCACTGATTGGTTACAGTTGTCAAACGAAAACTTAATAACTATGTATAACATTGAAATTAAAATCATTATTACTACTTTACAATATCCATGTAATCACTAACTAACTTGTTCATTAGAAGTTCACTATCACTTTAAACACATTTGTGTATTATGCTTAGTTCTAAATGATTAAGTGAAACTAAGTTATGAAACAATATTCAAATTGTATTTAATCTGTAGCTTGTAATCAGTTAAGAAATCGATTCAAGAATCATTATCAAAAATTTATTGATGAAAGCTTATTCTACATTTTGATATGGTCATTAGTTTTCTGATTATTTTATTAAACAATACACATGTACTTTAATCACTGACCATTCATTTTTCAGATGATGAGAATGAGAAGAGCTCATTGAATCAAATGGTGAGTTTTATGTTTTCTGTAGACACTTCATAATATAAATTATGTGACTAAAAAATCATTTTAGACTTCAAAAGAACTGATTTCGTGATGATGATTAGTGAACAGTTTAAAAGGTTAAAATGCTAAAATTAAAAAAAAGTTTTGTGTTGCTGAGGAGTAGATCCACTTGACTATTAAAAAACAAACACTTTCGTAAACTCTTAAATTTCGAACTTTAATTTTTCATATACTTCTTTATTTATTGTTGTATACATTAGGGTTGGTAATGTTTAGCTAGATAATATAAAATATATCGAACAACTAAGAAACTTCATCTGTGAATCTCTTGAGTATTATCACTATATCCTTAGGAATCATAGTTTTATTTGCAGGATTTAATATTTGAAGAATAAAATGCTTGTGATACAATCCTTTATTGTTTGATTTTCGAATTGCAACTTGATAGAACTATTATATCACCTAAGTAAGATTGCAAAGTCCAATAGAAAGAGGTGAAGGACTTTATGGTTCGTAGTCCTGGTGTTGGATATACTAGATTCCCAGAAACCACTTGGTAAACGTCATATTTCTGTAATTTTATTTTGGAAATTTAAATTTCTCATTCTCGTGCTAAAAGCGCCCATTTTCACTGTTCCCTCTCTTAATACGCTATTTTGTGACGTTTCGCAAGGACATTTTTATGCTGTATATGTACGTTTGAGTTATGTGCTTGTTGTTGTTCGTGCTTCTGGGCTGCTTGTGGAATATACTTTCCCACTTGTTAACCAGGTCTTCTCTCTATAATTAGCGCTGCTAGGACGCATCAGAATAGTTGGGCTTGTCTTGTCATTGTGACGCCTATGTTTTGTTTAGTTCGCCGATTTTAGGTGATCTCTTAATCTCCCCGAACATAGCACCTGGAATACATCTATCAGCATCCTTGTAGTGTAGTTTATTTATACTCACTAAATGTTTTTTTAACTTGTTCATCAAGTCTTTTTTACGTCTGTTATTTGATTTAAACTTGTTGAAGAAAATAGATCTTACCTGAAAGAAATCAATAAGTGACTTCATGTTATTTATTAAACGATAACAAATAACCCATTGAATATTTTCAGCCAAATATTCATTTCACCAAAACGGTTATAAGTAGTGTTAAGCAAGAAATTTGGTATAATCTTTATGTTTTAATCTTCATTATTACACCAAGAAAGTATTCAATAACAGTTATGTTTCTATTAATTTTGATTTGCACTTCTAACCAAATAACTAACACTTAAAAATGCCGGAATAAGGACACGAAATATGTTGAGAATACGATGATATTATTTATAACAATGTTAGCAATACATTAACAAACCTCAAATCGTGAGGCATTTAAGGCATTTACAGTGTCAATGTACAGTTGAATAAAAAATGTCTTCTGAAATAGTTATATAAGAATCTTGTTTAAAATATATGACAAACTGGTTATGTAACAGCCAGTTAATGTATGAACAACACAATTCCAGCTGCAACACTCAGCTTTTGGTAGGTTTGCATTTAGTCGAAATGTAGGTTATGTGTTAGTTTGAAGGTCAGAGAGTCTGTGAGAGTTCGGAAGACAGATGAGTAGGTGAAAAAGTAATTCAATCTACCAGTTAACGCATAAGATGCATTTATGTCTGATGATGAGGACAATCGACAACACTGGGCAAGAACATATAATTAAGATTAAGAAAATCTATTATCGAAACTACAAATTGACACCTTAAGATTTTGAGTGTATTACACATTCGACAATCGAAACAACAAATGCAGACGAAAAATATAAAAACTGATACATGGGAAAAAAATCTTAAATCTAAGAAACTGTCAAAAATGTTAGAAAACGACTATTATAGCGATAGGTGGACTGAATGTCACGATTTCATGCAAATGTCTTGTCAATCTGTGCCTTCATATCTGAGCCAGGTCCTCCTTGTTTATCGACGATCCTGTCCAGGTACTTGAAAGTTTCCAACTTTTCCAAAGTTTCTGTATCAGGTGTGACTGGATTGGTGCTCTCTGTGTTGTATTTCAAGATCTTGCATTTCATTTGTGTATGTTGAGGCCCGCTGATGCAGAGACTGCTAGTTCACTGGCTGAGTCTCCTAAATTTGTTGCTGTGTATAAGGTAGAAGAGCTAGGTCATCTGTGAAGTCCAAATCGTCTAATTGATTCCTAGCTGTCCATTGTATTTGGTGTTTTATTTGACCTGTGGAGGTCTTCACAATCCAGTTGGCCACCAGAAGAGAGAGAAAGAGGGAGATTGAGCAGCTTTGTCCCACTCCACTTCTCACTTGGAATGTATCTGTCAGCTGTACTCCATGCACCACTTGGTACTGTAGTTCGTCGTATTAGTTACGCATGATGATGGCGATCCTCTCAGCTACTCACTTCATAGTGTTGAAGAAGGTTCCATCAGGTCCTCCTATCCACATTGTCAAATGATTTCTCATAGTCAATCAAGTTGATGAATAGTGACGAGTCACATTCAGTTGATTGCTCTACAATGACCCGTGATGTCCCTATTTGATCTGTGTCTGTGACCAATCTTTACGAGATTCGATATGTTAATTTCGAAGCTGGACGTCTACTGAATCTTTCATCCAGTTCAGCAACATCCCATCAGGATGATCAGATCCTTTTCTGACCAATTCACTATGATCGATTACAGCTTCTCATAAAATTTATCTTTGCCGTCATCATTGCTATCATTGATGGGTGCATAACACTGAATAACATTCATTATGATTACTTCCTTCTCTGTTTTAAAGGATGCTTTGATGATTCGGAATCCATGAGACTCCCATCCTATTATTGCTTTACGTGCTTCTTTGAACGTCATCAGAGCAACCCTCCAAGTGTTTTGAGGATTTTCTTCTTCATGACCAGAATACAATAACATATCTCGCGAATCTAATCTTTGCAGTCTCCGTTGGATTAACTTGGTTTCACTTGTTCCGAGAACCGTCAAGTTATATGTCCTCATTTCGCAGCTATTTGAATGGTCTTCCCAGTTCCCCACATTGTCCGGACATTCTATGTACATAAATTAATTGTTGTTCTGGTCGTTAGAAAGGGAATCGACCTCGTAACTTGCGAGGAATCCCGGCCTTCACTTTGTGGCGTTATAAGTAGTCTGAGTGAATATCCTCCAACTCGGAGAGCAGAGTTTAAATTGTTTATTCTGGTCAGCGTTTTTTAGCAAGATTGTTTCTTACGGGATGATATGATCATCTTCTATTCGGTTTTCTTCTTAATAACAATCAAAAATTAAAACACTAGAAGTAGTTCCAATTATTAAATAGATACTACTACTTCACTACTACAACTGCACTACTACCACTACAGTAGTGTGTGCTACTGATGTTGACAGATATAAGTAGTATGTATTATCAATAGAAATCGGAATGCTTGGCGGCAGAAGGTCGAGAAAATTGAAGCGGAGTGAACGAGAACAGAGAATAAGTGCTATGGAAACGAAAGAACAACAAAGTTCGGGACAACTGATGGATATTTTGCAAACGAAGCATTTACTGTAAGATCCTGAGATTTTACCAAGATATTCTGTAATGTTATGTAGCGATTCATTTAGTTGTTTTTATTGTATGTTCTCGTTCACTACATTACTACTATAATTATTATTACTATTACTACACAGTACACATTTAAGACAGATCTCGTACATTTTACCTTTCCATATAATATTTATGGTTTTTTATTTGAAATAAATAATAATCAGTTATTAGAAGAAACTCATCCAGTTAAAAGTAAAGAAAAATCGAAATCTAAGTCACCACAAACTTTAAAAACTCAAAACTCGTGGGAGTATTTAAAATCTGGCTCTCAAAGTACAATAGATAAAAAGTTATCTGGATTCTTAGAACAATCAACACTTTCTCGTTCTCAGTCGTGTGATTATTTGGGTAAAATAAATGACTCGTCTGAAGATCATGAAGAGTTCAAAAAGAAGTCTGGAAGACGAAGACGCCTATTACGACTAAAAAGACTATTGAAGAAGGTGAGTAGATCACTATTTACCACATAATAATTCGATGTTTCATAATTTCCGAGAAAAACTTAAAATTTCGTTTTTCATTGCTTCAGTCATACATGTGAAACTGGTGTATTCCTACCTGTTTTTCGGTAACCTGTAACTCCACAATTTTAGCATGCGTATTTATAAGTAATCATAAAATACGTAATCCGCCTTAAAGAAGACTACATATAGGACAATTTGATGGATTTAGTTATACGTTATTGCAATCATCGGATAAAAGTCATACTAGCTTTGTTTTCGCAGATAATATATGAAAACTTCGTCACATCGAAAGACAGAATCAATCAGCGAAGAATAAGACATGGTATCTCTTGAAGTATGCTGGTTTTATGGAAAACAAAACAAAAGTGAGAAAGCTACAAATCTCATGTTTTCAACTGTTACGGTATTTAATAACACTGTTAGAAGTTTTAACTGGAGGAAAATGTATCCTTCATGTAAATGTCCAAGAAATTAGTGGCATCACTTATCACAAGTCCGTAAGGAAAATATGTTACGATGTCAAGCTACAAAATCTGCAATTAACGGTGTTAGGTGAGAATGTTATGGAGTTCAGATTTCGAGGAAGTAGCATTATGACTATAATGGCTATAAATGTGCATTTTGGTGGAGTCCCATACTACTTCTAGCGCCTTCCGGTTCTCACTGATTACCTAACTAAGATCAGACGGTGATGTAAATCTGAAAAAAAGACTTAGTTCGTTACGGTCGTTATATTTGAAAAGGCATACAAATTATTTACATCAGTTCAAACTACTAATTGTAACAAAGTAGTATGGTGGCTATTAGTGTTGTGTTAGATTAGTAGCGAACAGATTTTACGTATAGTACAAAATACAAGTATTTTTCATTACCTATGAAGGAGTTGTGAAGCTAAAACGTTAAAACTATCAAATCATTAATTTTGATCACGTACTGAATGTTTCTACTCATACAAGTAAGTAGTTACTCAACTTTGTGGTGCAATGGATCTGATATAAGATGAAAAACTAAAATCTGCATGAAGCTTCAAAACTCATGTTCGAATCTCCGAAAAGCTAAAATCTTCCTCAGGCTCACAAGTCATTTTCACATAAATTTCTTATTGGGTAGACTCTAAGAACTGGGGTTTTACATGTAGAGCATTTAACTACCCAATAACAAATGACTAATAGCGTTACAGTTTTTATTTCATTAGATTTCACTACCTACACTGACTAGTGACCATGTAGATGATTGGAATTTATGTTTATTTCATTAGTTGAGGTCGGTACGTGGAGGGAAAACTTTATATTCGAAGGTTCTCTGTTATCTCGAAGTCAATGCAAATTGATTTGAGGACTTGCGAGTAGATAATGATACCGCTAATTAATGATCCAAACATAAAATATTATTTAGTGCTAAATCTTTAAGTGTTTAATATAACACATTACATATTTGACAGTCTAAAATATATGATAATAATACAGTAAAACTGATTTATACTTTTGGGGATTTAATTGAGAAAGATAACCAAACCACATGGATTATTTCGCTCAAGAATTCGGCTTGCAAAGATCATTGACACAGTGTTATGTAATACAGTTTAGCAAAAAGATTTAACATTAAATCAACAGAAATGAGTAATTACTTAATCTGTCTATATACTAACAGTCATTATTCATTCTTCGTGATAAATCTTCTAATGGAACGCTAGATTCGGTTCCTAAGCTCTTCTAGAAACCCCCAGGCTAGATCTACACTTCAACTTTAACACAAGAGGAAAGGCGCGAGATATGGAAAGAACACTTTACTCCAAAGGTTCACTTATGTACAGAAACTCTAGGATATTTATAGTATTCTAGATGGCTCTGTGTTTCTGGAAAATTCTGCAATGTTATTGAACATAGTAGCATTCAACCAAAAACTCGACATGTGACTTTTCACCTTCTAGATGTTTCTGGCAAAACTTCTAATGAATGCTGATTGGATAAGACGCTTCATAGTGTTTTTTGAGCCTTTCTTGACTTCTTTTCGAGGACTTTTCTGGATCTCCCTAACAATTTGTTCGGTCTGTTCTATCACTTAAAACAATAACTGTTTTAACATAATTATAAGATTTATTTGTAAACACTATATAAGTTGTATTTATGTAACTACATTGTGACTGAATACAAAAATGACATGACTGTATTAGACTTTTAAGTTTCCTCTATACGATTTATAAAATGAACCACAATTTTTATCGGCCTGTTTAAACTGACTACATATGATCAAACTGAAATCATATTTTTTGACATTCGGCTACGTTTTTTTTGTGTCTAAAGCAACGTTAACACAACACAGTGGATATTTATCGTTCACAACTATTGAATAGTTTAAAATTCCATATTTTATGTTTGTTCTATTCTCAATTATCGATAAGCTGTTTCTATACTTTGTTTATACACTTACTACCACACATTTTGTCTCCATGTTTTTTAAAAAATTATTATTATTGAGAAATAAGATCATCTGATAACTTTTGGCAGCTGATTACCTGCTAATCATTCTATAGATCTCCATGTGATTTGTAGTTTACGGATAGTTAATAACAAAATTAGACAGAAGAATAATTTGCATTTATTGAGTATCACGTTTCGTTTTTGTTTTGAAATTATTGCGTGAAATCATTATGAATACATTACTGTCGATTGGTTATTAGAATCAACTACTATTTACAAAAATGTCCGTACAGAATCAGATTAATAAAACAATAGAATTCATACATGTTAAAGTTAGACAAGCAGATTAGTTAATGTATTTCATTGTTAACTATAAAATGTTTAGATTTTGCATATTATAGTTGAAAGCAATATGCTAATACTACAGTTTTTTTGTTAAACTACTTGCCTTCTGAACAATTTGTGAGTTTTTCAATTGACATACTGAATGAATATAAATATAAGAATCATTTGAATTTATCATTTAGATACATCGGGAACCTGAGTCACTTTTCAAATGAACTTGTTAATTTACATTGTAGTTAAGTCTCATTTTATGATGAAACATTTCTCAAGTTCAATTTTATTTCTAATGGAATCCAACATTAGACGATCGTAAAACGTCATTTAAAGCAAATCTAGTTTTTAGTACAATGGGTTTGTAAACAAACTTTGAATGTACACCGTTAAACTATTCCACAATTACTTAACCTCTATAACTTGATTTTATTTAAGTATATGTAATAGATCAGAAAATAAGTCATTCATTGAAGGAATCCTTTCAAAAAATGTCGTTTAATAAAAAGCCGTAACAAAATAAATGTACTACAGATTATAGGTAATAATTTTGATGTATCATACACATAGTTCCTTTTATCATTTTGAAAAGAGCAAGAACAAAGATTCTAACAGAATAGCTTGAATTCATTTTATTTCGTAATGAATGAATTCATGCTATTCTACTAGAATCTTTATTCTTGCTCTTTTCAAAATTTTGATGTAGTTTTGTTCTCTGAGTTAGATGGTTTGGTCATGGAGCTTTCATCGTTCTTCTGAACGACATCATCAGCACAAACTTCAGATAGAAGTGAAGTGTTCGAATTTCTTCACATGTGGTTCACAGCTTCTCCTGTAGACTTAAATGTTGATTGATTAACCACATGTGGAGAATTTCGAGCACTTCACATCTACCTGGAATCTGTGCCGATGATGTCATTCAGAATAATGATGAAAGCTCCACAACCAAACCATCCAGCTCAGAGAACAAAACTCTGTCAAAATCATCCACCTGAGCTACAAATCTACTCCACCATCTCGTAGTTAATAATTCTAAGTAGTATTGTATATTTAGCAAATAGATGGGATTTTTATTTTATGATACTGAATGTAACCATGTTTTTTACTTCAATAATTAATGTTTAATCAGTTTTATAATTCGATAGCATTACAGAACTTCATATCACTAATTTGAATGTAAACATTTTAGATCCACAGTGAGTTTATCATGAAATAGTAATGCAAAACATTACATACATTTTCATTTCATTTTATCACTTTTTGATGTATAGAGTAAATCATTCAAATCAAATCACTATAAAGCTTATAATGAAATGGATGAATTAGTTCATGGTGAAATTGATGTATCAATGGAATATAATGCTCAAGATCAACAACTTGGAGTTAGTTTATGGGCTGCTAATAATTTAGCACATGAAAAATATATAATCGGCTTACCGTAAGATTTTGTATAACATTCTATTTGAGTAACTTATCTTCTTTAATAATCTAAAATGAGTGGATTTTTAACCATATATATTTAGTTATTTGCTCCACATTTTAAATGATCACTCATAGTGAATAGAATGTTGTTTGTAAAAGCAAATGAAGGGAGTTTTATTTAAATAATAATCAGACTGTAGTTTGTTGACTATAGTTATATGTATTTTATGCTAACAAAATCATAGTATCTTACTGTACGATTGTAACAACTGAAAATGTTTAAGACGTAGATAACCATATTTCAATTTCCCAGTTGCTAAAGTTGCAATGAATATTCAAGAAAGTAGTCAAGCTATTTGAATATTTGTTTAAATAATTCCTCTGTAATTTAACTTGTTTTATAAGTGAATTATTTACTGTTAGTCCTATATAAGAAATATTTAAGCCTTTGTGATAATCGGAAGTATTTGATTTATAGTATGAACTAAGAATCCCAGAAATAACGTAATAGGATCAAGAAGTACTGGATAAGCACAAACAAATGTACTGTAATTAGAATTCGAAATCAAGCATTCAACAAGTACAAAGATATCATCAGTTCATTCAGACACCACAGCCTTTTTAACTTAAAAATGTTGAGGCAACTTTTTGCTTACATTTCTATAAGAAATTCAATGTCATATCTTCATGGAATGTAGTTGAATGACTGTCGATTTAGTTTGAAAGCAAGTAAAACAGTCTAATCAATGTATAAATATGTATTATCTTCTGATTTTAACAGTTATAGAGTTATCAATACAAAATACTAAGACATTAAGGTCATTATTATCTAGCGAATTTGTTGCCAGTATTTGATTCACATCAACATTTTCAAAATTGATGATAATTAGATTGTACGTTTTTTCGTTGTTTCAATGTAAAATAGATTGAACTGTGTAAAGGTTATGATATAACAACTACCTTGAAGTGATTCGAGTTTGTTTTTTTATTGCTTATATATGTTTTAGTCATGCTACAATCTCATTGCTTCCAGATAATGTCAAATATAATCTCAAAGTATCTGGTAACAATAAATGGGATGGAAGAGATGCAGTTTTTGATCTTAGTGTTTGTTTTACAGTACATAGATGTGATTTAAACAAGAAGATTATTGTAATAAAGTTATGGTCTAGAAATGGTATAAAATCACAATTCACCATTGGCCAAACTGTTATTCCTATAAAAGAATGTAATCTTTTATTCTCACCATGTAGAAAGTGCTTCCAATTGATAAGTGGAAATGTAAGTGTCCATTAAATATAATATCATAAGGGGCAAAACAAAATTAGATACATCAAACTATTTCTATTAAAACCAATTTTATTTACAGTTGTTTAATACAAAGCATTTACCCATATTTTTCTTGAATTTAAACATATCGTGAGTGTTTGCTTGTGAGCTGCACAAATCCGTTGCTTTTGAATAGTAATAGCGGTTGATTTTTAGCTATTCCAGAAAATATGCAAGGTGTATAACATTTCTGAACTATACGCCAAAGGCTGTGGATATACGAAATTAAATTAAAGTGATTTCAAGTACAAAGTAATGAAAAGAAGTAGGTTTAAATTGTGACTTTAACTACATGAAACTTCTATTCTTCACAAATATTTAAGAACTAATTACGGAAATTCATCTCTATTTACTGAATACTATGATGGACGGTCACAAATTTTGTACGCTATAAAGAAGCATGAAAAGTAAACTACTACTCGAGTTAAGTATCATTCGTTACCGCCTAAATAATGCTTATATATGATTGCCAGATCAAGTCAAAGCGATAGCTTACCAAGCAGTTGAACAGCATTCATACACATCCAACTATTCAGAAGATAGTTTTTTCTGTACATTTTGATATATATAGTATGCACATATTTGGTAGGGACTTTCTACCTAGTCACTGATCCTCAGAATCTCCTACAATTGAACTCTGAATGAAAGATACAATGAGAGACGTAAGAAAAATGTTTTATGTTCAAGATAACTTTAGAATGAGAAAAAAAAGATATTTATAGCTTCATTTTGGAGCTTGATATTCTGAAATATTCAAGAAACTTTCCAAATTGGTAAATAACCAATCAACATATGACAGACTATCTATCGTTTATTTAAACTCTCTGGGGGGAAATCTCTATTGTATAATTACTAGACAAAGAGTTTTCAGCCTTCTTTTAACTTTGTAAACTTTATCAAGGACCTACTCTCTTGTGAAAAATATGATTTTTCTCTGGTCTACCTAGTTTCACATCCCTGGTAGCGTTCTATTTTCTGATTTTTTATGCTCATACAACTATCACTTCTGTTTCTTAACTTTTCATCAATGACTGTGTTCATTCACGAGGTATCCATGAGTATAATAAGCTGAAAATTAATTACATCGTCTTCTATGTTCATTGTTATATTTACCCTTAAGTGTACGATTTGTTCTTCCCACGTTCCAAGTATCTCTCGCACAATGAACAAAACTTTTCTGAATCGTCTTCCAATAGTTCCTAGTCCCTATTTATTTGTACTGTGATATGACTTTACAAACACTTTATCTCTTACGTAAAAACTGCAAGTGTACATATTCTCTCCTTATCTCTCTATCTTTGTTGGCTAGAGCAGGAGGTTAAAAGTCGTCCTGACACCTTTTCCTGATGTTTTTTCCACAAACGATTTCCACACTGGAATAGCAAGATTAGCCGTAACTGGGTAAAATGTTAAAAACTTGATAATTACTCAGATTTTCATTCAATCTTCTTTTAAGGTGAAGCTTGTTTAAAGGTATCCATGCTGCTTGACCGTTTGACTATGGATCATAAGGAGAAAAGCGTAAATGAATAATCCCTGACTAAGTATTTCATGTAGAACATTTAAATCTATTGTTTTATTTATAACAAAAGATTTATAATCTGTCAATAATATTTTTTCTCATAGAATTCAATCATTACAAATCCTAACATAAATACAGCTTACTACGGTGAAATCAAACTTGCTTTACGTTTTGCAATATCTGATTATCAGAAAAAAGTGTTGTGTGTAACTGATGAAGCTATTGATTTGATTGGCGTATTAAATGTATGGATAAAGGAAGGAAAGAATTTACATTCACAAAAAGCTGGTACAGATATAAATTCTTACGTGACCGTGTACGTTTACAATTATAATTCTGTGTTTTAAAAATCAAATAACAACTTCACTCATGAAATTTATTTTTGAATTCTATAATGTGTACATCAATTACAGCTTGTGGAGTTAACTATATCAATGGTATAACAGTTACCAACTGATGGCATTTAATGATAAATGGTCAATATAATAAGGTGATAGTTTTTTGAAATATTGACACCTCGATGAAGACCAGACACCTCAACTAACTTGCGATTGCCATAAGAATAAACATCCCTACATTGGATTGTGTATTCGATTGTTATTGTATGATAGTCAAGTGAGATGGAGTGAAAAGAATTAAGTATCCATCGTGTTTCAATGAACTAAAATATTAAATATTGCTTTATTACATCTATTTTTTAGATGAATGAATGGTCCGTAAGTTTTTCCATATTTAACAAGCTAAACAGCAATAACGATACTTACAGAATATTTAATATTCAGTTATATGGTACACTGTTTTTACAGTACTGAAAATTAAAAGACACTAAATAGATCCCGATAAGTGAACAATTAACAGACATATTTTGACATCAAATAGAATCTATCAAATAACGCTTGCCTTTATCAACCACATTCATGCAATTATTTAATTTAATTAGGGAACTAACTGATCCTGAACACAAAACAGAATGTCGAAGTACTGATCAAATTCTACGAAGTGATCAACCAGTTTGGAATAGTTTACTTCAGTTTTCAGACAAACATCTTAGTGAATTAATCGAATCTACTATGAAAATATTTATTTGGAATCGTTCAAGTAGCTTTAGTGATCCAGAACTATTGGGGATCGTACAAATTGCCAATAAAGGTAATCACATGAATTATATATATATGTGATAGTGAATACCCCACAGATTAACTTGCGAATTAAACTGCTATGTGCAAACATAGGGCCCAAATCAGACAATTATAGATATTTTATGAATAAATGAATGAATGAATACTTATTATACAGTGAACATCTAGAAAGTTACGTCTTTTGTCCCATTATCTTTTAAGAACACACAATAATACGATAATCAATGATGAGAGAACGAAATAATCACCAGTTATGATTATTACATAACATTCTTTATTCGTCAACAACATTTTCATAAGTAAAAATGAACGTTGATAATGATGATTTCGTTGAAATTATTCCATACTTTTCTATGACAACATAAATTAAACTGTTCAACAAAGAATGGAAAATCAACATTCAAGAAATTTCATCTCAATCAAAGATGCGAACTATTTCACTCCATGCTCACTGGTTGAATTTTAATTCAAGCATCGAGACCTGAAGATAATATTTAAGGAAATGTTTGACCGATTCATGTAAAATATCATTTTCCTATGTCACACATTATTTCTATTTTTATCTATAAATACTACAATTTTCAGAAGGGGTTTTTTAAATTATAGTAATTTTAATAATTGAGATCATGAGTCAATGGAAGCTGGACCTTCATGGAAAACCTGGAAGCACTGGACGGCCGTTTCGTTCTACTACGAGACTCCTCAGAAGTACGCATTAACGATCCCGCCCGCGGTGTTCGAACCCATGACCTATCAGTCTCGCGTGCGAGACCACTGAGCCGGCCGGCATCCAACGGTTTTCTCTCAACTCTAAAATACATTATCCTTCCCCCAATTACTGCTATAATTTTCTTTCAGAACATCTACATACTCCTGAGAATATCAAGTTTATATTACAATTCTCCTAAAAAATTTTATTATTATAAAATACATCTCTTTATTTTTGTTTTTTCTTCCTGCCTTTTTTGTTTAAACCGAAGAAGAATCTGAATTAATGGATACGATCAATGATAACAACGTAAACGCTAATGTATATCAAGGCAGTACAATAACGAAAAGTACATCATTGTGGGAATCTGTAATATCTAAACCTGGTGACTGGATAGAAGGTCTGCTTAATATTACAGCTCCTAATATAAAATAACGAATGTAAAACTTTTTATAGAAATATATGTATATGAATCTTGTAACTACTTAGAATTTGGTGGTAATTTTCAAATGTTAATTCCTATAATTCTTACAAATTATTGCAAACTATTACATAACAATACAGTTTACAGATTTCTTTAAATGTTATTGATATTGAGGATTTAACTCTGATTTAAAAGTCAATTAACAGGTTTGAAACATTTTCCCATTTTAACTTTCTTATATTATTTTTATAACAGCCTAATTGTAAAGTATTCTCTTGTATTGAGAATTGGTCAATCTAGAATAAGTAACTGTTTGAATAGATATTAATTTGAATATTGTAATTAAATTAACTAATAAAAGTCAATTAAATATAATCAGATTTCAAGGTAAAATAAAGCAAAGAGGCTTTTGGTAAATCCTTTAAGTGATTACAAGTAATACAGTTTACGACTTTGGTTCCTTTAAAGCTTCTGAAGGTTTCGTTGAGCTTTTTGAGAGCCATCTCAATAGTTTTAAGAATATTAAAGAAATTATCTACTAATATTTCAGATATATATTATTTCCCTTATGTTAATTTTCAATATTACACTTAATGTATATACTTTCATTAGGTTATTTGTTACAAAAACTGATTCACCCAAGTTGCAGTAAAGTTGTAATTATAATCTATGAATTTTTATGAGAAATGTTACTTACACAAAAGTAAGTGGAAAATATGCTTGAACACTTATCATCAGACTGTTTAATTATGCAACCAGTAAATAATTGGATATACTATAAAAATTATAAAAACTTATATAAAACCATATTAATTGTAATAAATATCCTGGGAACATCTGTCTATGAACTATATGACCATTAAAACCTATAAAAAAACTATTCCAAGGTTGTTTACAGTATGTAAATGTGTTTGATTACTCAACAGAGCGTGTATATAACGTTCAATCTGTATTAAATCTCAGAATGTACTTAAATATGTTGGGGGATGGTAGGTCCTCAGAAATCACTTGGTAAACGTCTTAGTTTTGTAATTCTATTTTGGAAATTTGAATCTTTTTGTTTTCATGTCAAAAGCGCCTATTTTTACACTTAGATTATATTCCCCACTTGAAAGAACTCTAAATGTCACCGGTTCCTTTACCTCTTTTAATATGCTATTTCGTGACGTTTCCTAAGGGCAGTTTTATGCTGTATATATACGCTTCAGTTGTGTGCTTGTTGTAGTACATATTTATGGATGCTTGTGAAATAGAATTTCCTTGTTCTGATTTTGGTGTTCTTTCTCTAGTTAGCGGGGCTAAGACGCATCGGAATAGTTAGTTTAGCTGGTCGTTATGACGCTGATACCTAGTCCCATTTATCGATTTTAGATGATCCCGTAATCTCTTCAAACTAAGAAAATATGGTTAAAAGATTTTCCAATGCAGATTTGCAAAACATTTAACAAACGTTTTAAGATGCTATAAAATATATGAACATGTTTTAATTCAGCATGGTATTTGTGTTAATATTGTGGTGTTTACTGCTGATGTCGACAGATATAATTAGTATGTATCATCAATAGAAAGTGGAAAACCTAACAGCAGAAGGTTGAGAAAATTGATGTGAAGAGAACAAGAACAGAGAATGATTGGTATGGAAACGAAGGAACAAAGAAGTGTAGGACAATTGATGGATATTTTGCGAATGAATTATTTACTGTTTTATAGCAACCCTCGTACAATCAATTTCGATAATGGTTATATTTTGTTAAGCCTTTTTAATAACTTACTTAACAGACAATATTATCCGAACAGTAACAATCCGCGTATTTCTTTGTGCTATTATGTACCATTATATTGTCTGTATAAACGTGTACCATTGATCACATGATAGCCTACGCACATATCCCTCCATAGCCAAAATGTTGATAGCTTAAATATCGCTCGATGAATCCTTCTCTTTTCCATGTCTATATATATACTCAAATTCTATTATTAGCCTTCGCCTTGCCTAGCTGCGCTTTATCCGATTTGACCATGAATTTGCTTCTGTATGAGCTCGCATACACACATTCGTCTCTGCTTCAAATTCGCTCGATGTGCATATGACTTTGTTGTCTGTGTTATCCGCTGATAAACTGTAGTCACAGCTTCTAATTGCCTTCTAGTTTCAAACACCATTGTGATTTATATAATAACGACTATCAGGGTGATTGATTAATGAAGCCAAGTCACTACAGTATTCAACCACATTTAGTTGTCTGCGCCTATGTTCACGTTCACTACAGTATTACAACTGATTTAATTTATATGCAAAGACGGATAGTGGCTAGCAGTGGAATCCAGGACGCGCGTTTCGTCTTATGTGGGACTCGTCAGCTGGACCTGACTGCATCTCAGGGTTGATGTTCACTCTGGGACTCGAACCCAGTACTGTTCGATTCAAACGCCACCGCGTTCTTCACACAGCTACTGAGTCTTGATAGCCACCAGCTTGTGCAATAGGGTGAATTTAACTTCACTTGGTATTGTTTACTTGAATCTTCCCATCGATGTTTAGGACTGCAATTGATCAGTCTCTTATTGGCATATGTGCATACTGTGCGTATTGCCACGATGTCGCCTTACTTCACAAGCATTATAAATAAAGATGTATATTGGCTAGCAGTGGAACCAGGACGCGCATTTCTTCTTATCTGGGACTCGTCAGCTGGCTGGATCCCAGGGGAGAGTATAAAGAAAAAGAGTAAAAGTATTTTATAAATAATTTATTACTTCATCGCAGTTGAGTAAATAACTCGCATTATATGCATTCGGTTAAAAGAAAAATTAATAAGAATAGATTAAAGCTATTATTTTGAGATTAGGACTTATTGATGAAGACGTTTCGTGAATTACAGTTCATGAACAGAAGGTTTTTTGTAGAGTTTTGTCAACTATTTAGTTGAATATACATTTGATAATATTTGAAGCTGAATTTAAAGTGATAAGTCAAGAAGCTATGAATAAAAAGGAATACTTGTTTTATCTTGTTGAATATATATCTCGTGCTTTGCCAATGTATAAAGTAATGATACCGTCAATTAGAGAACAGTGAATTTTCGACCGGACCAATGCTGCATAAAACCATGTACAAGCAGTCAAGAGTACTTATCGGTCCTGCTTCCTGCCTAGCACTGACTGTTATGTCCAAAACACTAATCTCAGCCTCTGCGATATGAATCATTTATTTCAAACACACTGAGTTTATATATAATCCAAACAGACCACATCGTACCATAAAATAGGAGACAACATTTGTACAAGATTTAGCCAAATATGGTTGTGAATGTGGGAGATAGTAATTGATAGACAGGGCATAACTGAAGAATGGTAAATCGTATAATAACAGTTCATAGGTCAAAATAAAGCTTATGGTAAGAGGAACACGGATATGAATAGTTTAGCTACTTAATAATTATACAATAAAAATACATGTATCGTATTAGTCCATGAATAGTTCTCAAAAGTTACCATTCATAACTCTCGCAGGAATATAACAACTATGATCTCAATTTTACTAAAAGTATTCTTTATTGTTTCCTTAGTACTATTTAAACTTGTCTTCTCTTTATTTCAGCTATTTATTCACTCCGAAGAAGTGATCTACATTAAGTCACGAAATGTCAGAAATAAAAGTTTTCTAAACATTGGAATATAACAAAAAAATTTATATTTTCTTTATTAAGATTGAAATTATTAATTTCTTATGTTATATTTATCTTAATTTATAAATTAATCACAAGCATAGAAGTAAAATATTTTAGATAATTAAAACAACTCATTGTGTTGTAGCGGTAAATAAATCCCTAAAATAAATAGCTCTGTAAGTTTTCGACATTGGATGCTGACCATATGTTTTAGTGGACTCATCTAGCTGAAGGCGCTCGGTCAGGCATCCGCACCAGATCACGTGTGGTAACGCCGTGCTCAACATCAACCGCAATCGCTAGCCAGATTAGATCAGAGAATTCCGATATATTGGTCATCGCCAAATATACTCTTCCGATCTCCTCGACTCTGTCTTTTGATTTCTCTGGGTGGGAACGAAATATATTAGAAGGTGTTACTGGTAGAAGCGTTGTCAAACACTGAATACCTGTGACATCATCAGTGTCATTGAATAAAAAATAAAAAGAATTCAGTGAAGAAAATTTCTTTTTTCGACAAAATCATTTACTTAAGCTGTACATTCATATTTATAGTTGCATAGTAAATATTATGTCTATAAAAGCATAGTAAAGATTGATCTGTAAATTATTTTCATCCTACTATTCTTCTCTAATGCCCTGATTATTATGTGATCTCATTTGATATTTGGAATCTCGAATCACTATATAAAACAATCTTTTCTATTCTTCAATAGACATTTATTTACCATACAACTATCAATGAGAATATACAGCTTAAATAAATGATTTTGTTGAAAAGAAAATTTTCTTCACTGAATTATTTTTATTTTTAAAATGATTTGTAAAGTAATAATTTCTCCGCCTAATTTATCATCTTGTTTTACAGTTTGCTATCAATAAATATAATGATTGTATTAAATATCTATTCTGAAAATCAATCTCAAACATATCTTTATTTTATAAAATATGAATTCTAAGTATTTCAAAGAATAACTTCGCCTCGAGTCCCTCCCGGGGGCTACTGCCGGTCCAAAGCACGGATAAAGGCGTAGGGTTGAGCATGGGATTAGCGACCCCATCCCGTAAAAAACCAACTCGTTAAAAAAACGATTACCAAAAAAAATTATTCAATGTAAAATTTCAAAGAATAACATAACTGTACGTATAAAAAACTACCGTAATCATTGATATGCTTTGTGTTACAAACGGCAATACCGTAACCTTAAAAATAACAGATTCATTTGAACTCAACCGTATATTATAAATACTGTCTTTTCTATACATGTCATTTACTAAATTGTCAAAAATAACTTGAGATTGAAGCATTGATATTTATATATTTAACGGTTTATATGATG